TGCTGTCTAATTTCAAATAACAGGCCCAAACTCCACTGATATTTATAAACAAAGTCAATTTTATTCCTATTAGATAGAACAGTGTGAAACAACTGTAACCTAACACTGAACTTTGCCGGGACTTCCACAGTTGAGATCTATTTCTCAAGTACTTCTTTCACTAGAGCATTTGCTTAAACAATCCTCTTGCCTCCTGGCACACTTGTTACCCAAGGAAATTATATAAGTTAAATATAACCACATTAAAAAGAAAAAAGAAAAACAACCCAGGTAGTTAATTTTAACCTGGATCGTTTCCCCAAGCCAGTTACAGGACACAATTCCACGAACCGTTGTGCTGGTGCAGCTGAGGGGGGGCAGCAAAGAGGAGAGTGGGGAGCAAGGAAGAGGCAGGCCTGGTCAACTCCACACTGCCACCAAAAGCTCTGCTTGTCAAACTATGTCATTTAAAAAAAAAGACTTACTTTAAGGATTCAGAGGGTCTGGATCTATGACCAGCCACTCCATCGCTACATGCCACTTCATATCCTAGCTAAAACCTTATCTGACTTTCCCTGTGCCTCTTGGTAGGTCAGCCCTTAACAGGCACATGAAAACAACAGCCTTACAGAAATCTCAGGACAAGTCTGTTTGATTAGTTCACAAGCACTCCTCCTCACGGAAAAAAAAAAAAAAATTATATCGAGGCCTAAAGTAGCAGGAATTTGAAAGTGAAACCAACCAGAAATGGGGATCCACCTTAACACAAAATTTAGGTACCACGGATTTCCTCGCTGGTCCTATTTCACACCTGCACACACTGGAGTATTTGACACACTGACTTTAAGGCCGCAATAAGTCGGGCGAGGACCGGGGGCTACCGAGAAGCCCTCAGGTTTCGGAGCCCGAACATGCTGCAGGTACAGCAATAAAGTTACCCGAAAATTAAAAAAAAAAAAGCCTACAAAGTGCGTACGCGCCCGCAGCTCCAGCCCACCTGCCGCAGGGCGAGCGCGGGGCTCGCTCCTGCCGCCGCCCGGAGCCCGCGGCCCCGCAGCGCTGTCCCGCCCGGGGAGGGCCCGGGGCCAGGCGGGCACCGACCGCAGCCCGACGGCCGTGCAAACACCCGCACCGCGTTCCGGAGGGCCAACCCCGCAAACCTTCCCCGGGCGTGGGGCGGCGGGGCGGGCGGCTCCCCCCGGCCCCCGCGGGACGAGTCGCCCCGCGGAGCGGAGCGGCGGCGGACGGGCCGCGAGGGGAGGCGGCGCCCACGGCTCCGCTCGGCCTGGCCCGGCCCGGGGATGCCGGGGAGCCCCGCGCCCGCTCTTCCCGGTCCGCGGGCGCGGGGCCAGGCGGGCAGCGCTCCCGCCGCGCCCGGAGTTGTGACAGGAGCAAAGTGGGTCACCGGGCCTAGCGGGTGCCCCGCGAGCGCCCTCCGCCCCCGGCTGCGGCCGTGCCCGCCCAAGGGCAGCCGCTGCCCTCCCGCCCCGCCGGAGCGCGGCGGGGAACCCGCCGGTGCTGTCAAACTTCCATCGCTCCCCTCCGAGCCGTCCCCCCGCCTTCCCCTCGCCGCCGCACGCCGGGGCCCGGCGCCGCCGCCCGCACCGCCCAGAGACGCGCTAGCTGCTCACCTGTCCCCGCGCTGCCGCTGCTCGCCCAAGCTGTCCCGGCAAGCGCCGCTCCCCGCGCACAGCCCCGCGCCCGCCAGCACTGCCTGACTGAGCCGCCGTCGTCGCCGCCGCCGCCTCCTCCTACTCCTTCTCCTGCTGCTGCTGCTGCTGCTGCTCCGGCGGCGGCACCAGCAGCACCCGGGCCCGGGAGTCCCCACGCCGCCACTGCGCCTGCGCCGCCGAGCACCCACCGCCGCCGGCCGCCGCGGCACCTCGCGCCACCGCGCGTGCGCCGGGGCGCACTGCAACCCGCGGCACCCCGGGCCTCGCGCGGGGCCGTCGTCGCCGCTGCTGCCGCCGCCGCGCCTGCGCAGACGCGGATCACCAGAGAGGTGAACCCTGCTCTGCGCGCGCCGCGCCACGCGTTCGCGAGGGGGGGAGTTAGCTCTGCGCAGGCGCAGTTGGCGCGCGCCTCCCTGACCTGGGCTCACCTCGCCTCAGCTCACCCCGCGCGCCGGGAAATGGCGTCCGCCGACAGCGCCCGACAGAGCCGGCAGCGCTGACCCGCCAGCTCCGAGCGCCAGGGCTCGCCGGGCTGCGAACAGGAGAGCGGCGACGCTGCTGCGAGGGCTGGTCTTCAGGCGGGCGTAGAGCCCGCAGCCGAGTCTCCTCAGGCGCTTTCCCAGCGACACGGTGAACCCGGCGCGGAACGCGGGCACACGCGCCTTCCCACAGGGAAACACCCGGCGTCCCGGATGCTCTCTGGGAACAGACGTCCTTCCCGAGTTATTTAGGGGTTCAAGGAACCCCTCCCGGCGGTAGTCTGTGATTTCTTTTATGGGTGTGCATAAAGTGGTGTAACTAAAGGGAGAGGCAGAGAACAGACATGACCGTCTCAGTCCTTTTGTCAGTGTGCAAAGCTTCTAATGCCATTCAATAAATGTGCCGCGGTTACGTTAACATAAAACTGTCTTGCGTGCAGCAGAACATTGCAGGGCATTGTATTCTGTATTCTGTCACTCAGCGGTAATATTATTTAAATAATCCCAGTTTTCTCTCTTCAGTTACAAGGATTTTATTTGTAAGTTGATCACCTAAAAGCAACACATCTAAAAGTGTAATTACAAATGTGTATCTCTAGAAGCTTAATTTGTGTTTGTGTCTGGAATGAAATAAGGAACTTGGCTGCAAAATCTCATGGATTTTCCTTTCTGGGTTACTTTCCAGGTAGATCAGTTTCCCCGTTTGGTTCACCTAATAATCAGTCTTGTGCAAAGGTATTTGCAGGGCAGGAGCCTCTTTAGCAGTAAAGCTGCCAAAGAGCTAACCATGAGGTCAGCTTTTCTACTGGAAGAGTTCTAAAAAGCATTAGTAACAACACTCATTTTTGTTAGTGATTCATAATACTCCATTTCTAGCTTTCAGTTAAGGAAAATGTGATATAAACAAAACTAATAATACCATTACTCATTACAAGGATAATGCTTCTATGATGAAATGTAGCAGAGATAATAGGGTGTAGCAGGAATGGAACATCTAGGAGAAAATGCAGGAATATTTCCAACAAAAATGCATAATTACCAGAACTAGAATATGGCAAAGAAACCAGGAAGCTAAAAATAGCATCAAGCTTTATCTATCAAATTTGCCAAAAGATCTTTAGTAACCAGTAGTAATTCTTCAGAAAAACAAAGTAGAGATTCTATCCTGTCTTGCTTCACATCTTGCATGTATGGGAGCATAACACTCCTACTGCAGTTTTGCAGTAGCAAATTACTCTGTGACAAGATTAAAACAGACAGCACAGCTGCGGAGATGACACACATTTGCATTTAGTGCCAAAAATTATGACTTATGGAAGGTAATTTTCTTAATGCTACTTCTCTTTTGAAAATATGTTAGAGGTTGCTGAAGGTACAGGACTGGTTAGAGATGCTGTAGTGGTTTTATGAAACTATTCTCGTTGTAGTACTATTACTCTGCTCTTTTCATTAATGTTAGTTTGCTCTGGTGTGTAATTATAGTTTTGTTTCACTCACAAGGGTTATGAGAGAGCCAATGTAGCTTTTAAACAGTGCCAAATTAAGAGCAGCAGATATTTTGTGAATTATTGAGTGATGGAACTGGATTGGGCCCGAAGTGCACTTCCATTAACTATAGCCGTGTTTCCTACAGAAGTGCCATTGCCATCTTGTGTGTGATGTACCTCAGAACTGCAGAGCAAACACCTGCTCATAGCATTTGTTTTTGATCCTCACTGGCCTATTCAAAAGAGGATCTATTTGAGGAGGCTGATTTTGAAACTAAATTTCACATCGCACCAGAATACTAAAGTCAGTGGATGTTGGCTTGAAAGCCTGTCACAATCCACATAATCCTTGTAAAGCGAGGTTGACACATTCATTCCTAGAGCCTTTACTTCCAACTGGTATAACTGACCCAGCACCAGAAACATCTGGTTTTAACCTGCAGGTTCTCTTGGGTTTTTCTGTCACACCTGATGGCCGTAACCACGATCACATGGTCACTACTTGGATGAAGTTACAAAGTCAGGGTCACCAAAGGGGAGGTTTGGTGCTTTCCTACCATATCTTGCTTCCAGTGTGACAGCACTGGCACTTGTGAATTGCTGTGAGTTGTACCTCACAGCAGCCCCAGTAGTGGCTGGGAGGTCACTGATAAGATGAGGTAGTACTCCTTTTGCAGCAGCCAGCATTGGTACTTGAAATGACTGTGGAATCACATCTAGAGCCCCTGGTGACCTATTTACATTTAAAACTGCTAACTAGCTCTGTAGTTTAAAGGGCAGATAATGGCAGATAAGCCATTGTCTCTGAAATTTATCTACTAGTTGCCTCTTTGAATCTGCAAAATAAAAGTTCCCAGAAGTGGTATCTGCCACTAGATATCTACCAACAGTAGAGCAATATCTCACTGCATGGAAAAAAAACAGTCATCAATTCACTTTGTTGTTCTTCTTATGTATCTGTGTGCCATGTGTTAAGGGAACTATTCTTTTTCATTTTTCTTTCTGCATTTCAATGCTATAAACCATGTCAGTTGCATAGAACTAAATCTTCATAAGCACACTGGGATTTTTTTTTTGTATGATGAGTCACTGGAAAAATAACATTAATACTATACAATTTGATTCACTACTCATAAGAAATAAAAATGCTGAATCAGGAGGAAGGCCTCTTCATTCGCTCACGTAGTTTGCTTCTCTACAGTGGTACTGTAAACTACTTTGTAAAAGATACAGTTATGTTTGTAAGGAAAGAAAAACTGATTCAACTGTCAGTGTTCTGAAATAGTGGGACAATTATCTACAACCCTAGAGAAAATTCTTGAACTCTTATCAGAGAAATGGAAGTGTTAGTCAATGCAAGTGTTAGTCACAGCCAAATCCTGATTATATATGTCTATAAACATCATTGTCTTTGGGTCACACTTTTCAGTGGGGGAACTGAGAAGGTACTTTGCAGAGCAGAGTTCTACTACAGTAATGTCACTGAAAATTAAAGGAATGTCTTGCACCCACATGGGATAAAAGGAAGAGGAAAGTATGGATTAGAGCCCACCAGCTAATGCCCTCCCTTTTCCGTTTAAGCAGAGTTTTTATGAAATGGAGGATCCAGACTCTCCATGTCAATGACAGCCATCTGTAGGAATTTAAAGGTAAGTGTGGCTTTCATTTACTACAGTTTTCTTCCACAAATCAAACCCAAAAAATACACAATCAAACCAGAAGTTTTTTCTTTTTTTCCCCCCCTGTTTTTAATAGTTTCAGGCTTACCACAGGAGTAAAAACTGTGTGTGAACTAACTTATGCCAAACAGATGATCTGTTTAAAGCATTAAAAAGCTCTCAAGCAGTTTTATCACATCACTGGTTTTTATATTGGTGTCTTCATGAGCAGAAGTGCTTCACACTGGCAGTATCATAATGTCCTTTTGGGGGTTTTGTTCTTAGTTTTTGTTGCTCCAACTTCTGCTGATTTTCAATTGAACTCTCATAAAAACAAGTTACAGTTTATTCTGATAGTTGCAGGTAATTCTCATTTAAGAGAAAAAGAAATTGACTTTAAATAAATAGCAAGACACATCTCAACAACAACAAAAAATAGAGCCAACCCAACCTTATCTTAGTAAAAATGAGACATTGCAGAATACCCATGCTTAGGCAATACTCTTACCACAGAATTACATAAATTAATTATTTGCTTTTTGTAGACTTTTTTCCCCTACAAAAACAATCAAAAACCTCTTCACTCTTTAAGCAGTGGCCTTTAGATGATCACAAACATCATAAAATTTTCCATATTGTGAGTTATTTAAAAGTATTTCTCTTACCTTCTACGTTCAGCTACTCCAATGAACCTGCCTTTTATTTCACTAGTTTGTATACAAGTACTGTATATATCATGGTAATTCTGAATGCTGAAGTTTACAATGGCTTTGAGAAACCTGACTTCTGGAAACTTCCAGGCTAGCAGGTTGAGGTGTTCATTAATCCATAAACACATTGGGATGCTAGAAAAGAAGAAAGTATGATGACACTTCTGGTATAAATGATTTGTAAAGCAACTAAAGTTATTAACGCCTTTAAAGAATACTATAGTCTCTTTCTATTTTAATTTGTTATAAGAATTGCACCACAAATTTTATTTAGCTTCTTCTAAGATCAGTGTGATTCAAAGAGCTATCCAAGTAAAATTACAGGGGAGGCACAGTCTATGAAAGCTACCAGACATTTCAAGCGCTGTGCCTCAGTTTTGTTCTCCACTGAGATTTTAAAGCTCATTCTGTTCATTTATTGTAGAGTTTAAATGAGATTTTTGAACCAGTAACATACATTTTACTTTAACTTATTTAGACTAGCTTTCAGTTTAACATTTCATTAATTCTTTATTCTAGTAAAATCTAAGTAACATCAAGGAAACCTTTGTATAGTCATATTATCATCAAAAACCTGATCATTACTTCCATAGCTACTATTTGCAATACAATCACTATATAAACCTCATTTTAAAAAAAGAAAAAAAAAGAAACCAATCAAAAAAACAAAACCGAAAAAACTCCACCACAAACCCAGACACAGAAACCCCCCTTTTTCTTGTTCCCCTTTTCCCCTTCAGCCCATTAACCTTTTAGCAATTAGGATCTTTGTTGTACCTGACAGAAGTCAAAGCAGCCAATGTGGCCTATGGACCCTGGGGGCCAAAGGTGGTTTTGTTACAAGCCATGAGAGACTTTGGGGATACTCATATTCATTCCCAAGGAATTACCAGTTTCCTCACTGTGGCAGGAAATCTACAGTATATGAGAAAACTGTAGTTTAAACATGTTTCAAAATGGCTTTTTGTAGTCTCTTTGCTAACTCATGCTTTTTTCTTCCCCACACCCCTTTGAAGGACTGTTGTCTCCCATGCAGGAATGTCCTGGGAAGATGTCCTAAGGTGTTCTCACTGGCCCCTTTTAACTCCTTCCTATTGGTCATTAACCCCTTCCTGCAACCTGTAATTGGTTACTCTGTGAATCCTCCTAAACCCTATAAATGTAAAATCCCCAACAATAAACTCTCTCTTGCCTCCTCTCTGCGCCCTGTGTGCTGTCTCTCGTGGGGAGGGGAGAGCACCTCTCCCCTCCAGGCTCAGGACCTGAAGAAACCCCTGGCGCTGGAGTCCCCCCCCATCCACTGAAGCCGTCGGAAATGGTTCCTCAGATGGAAATGGAACTAGAACTGGGCCACCCCACACCACGGGGGGAAAGAGATCCAGACCTCACAGACTCGTATTTATGCAATGGTAAATTGCAGAATTGGTTTTCCATTATACAAATCCAATGAAAATCAAGGAAGGCTGCTATTTTCTTTCTTCAGATCTGTAAATTTAAATTGCTGTAATTTTAATGAAATTTGGTCTGAGCCTAAAAAATGATTAAATATTCCATACTAATTCTCAGTGCTTTTCAAAAACATCTAATAGAGTTGCTAACATATATGGAACTGATCATGGAAGTCCTTTGACATTTCTGCTGGATCCTATCACAACTTCTGCTACCTCTACAGAATTCACTGGGAAGATAATAAACTAACAAGTCCTCTAGCTTTCCTCAGTTTTCATAACTGAAACTTTTCCTGAAGGGTTTTCGATTTGTTGGAGTCAAAGGGGAAGTAAAGGGGAAAGAAAAGTCCCGTTAACGTACTCCTGCTAGGAAAAGAATCTACAAACAAAGAGTGGACACCACTTTCTCAGTGAAATTCAGAGATTCAGTGAGGTTACATACATGGTGATAAGTGTACACAGCAAAATATTTTTTTCGTATAATTGAACAAAAGTGAAGTGATTAATTCACACTAAGTGAATTAGCAAATCAAGGAGGTCAGATGCTCTCTAATTCCATTGCCTCCAACCAAATGCTATTTCATAAGACTCTCGTATTTAATTTTTCCTGGTATTGCTTTTTAATTACCAGTTCAATTCTTTGTATTGAAGTATTCAACATTTTATGCAAGAATGTAATTACCTTGACCAATAAAGATGAATTATAACCCCAACATCCTCTGGAGCATTTGTAACTTCATTTACATACTGCTTTCTACAGCTTTCTCTTAGTTTCCCATACTTTTGCCTCCTCTGAAGACATTTCCATTCTTGCAAGTCTTGTTACCTAATTAAAAACTAAAACTAAAAATAAGCGTATTTGGAACATTTAAAATGCATTTTAAAATAATATCCAGTGCATCTCAATTACTTTAAAAATTGAACAACCCTTTAGCTTAAGGTCTTCTAACACAATTTCACACCTTAGAAAGTTTTCTATGCCAATCTTTATTCAATAATATAACATTAAAATACATTTTCTTAATTAATCAGTATCAGATTTGGGAAACTTGAGTAATAAGTTGCACAAGCATTTATCATTTGAGAGAAAGCCAGAAAATATTAAAGCAGGTATTAATTGTTTGTATGATCCTGCAAATGAGATTAGTTTAGGGAGGAATTACAGTATATATACTAATATTTACCAATTTTAAAATAAGTCATGAAAACTGAAATGTAAAAACAGTAGATGGCAGTCTTCATCTATAAAAATACTTGCAAGGTAGAAAAGGAAAATACCGTACTGAAATCTGTTGAACTAAAAGCAGCTCTTAATTTTACTGACTGAAAGCCACTACAAAGTGGCTTTCCAAAAAAAAAAAAAAAAAGAGAAGTTAAATAATACATGCACAATGTTATTATACTCTAGCAACAATACAAGATAGTTTAAGTTTACAACTTCCACATAACTGTGAATTATTATCTTCCTGTGAGAATACAGCACTAGATACAGAGTGTTAGCACTAGAACTGCTTTGGTCATTTCACAAACTCAAAAGCAGAAAGTACAGGTAGAATCTAAACAGAGGAAATGTTTTGATGGAGTTAGCTTTTTTATTCTGTGTAAACTGTCACTAACTGTGTTGTATGTTTAATTCAGAATCCTTTAAAAAAAAAAGTGAAAATAATAAAAATTAAAACATAATTATTGTACAATATTCAAGTTATAAAAAGTATTATTGAAAATATTCCCACTTTTCAAAATTTGTTATACTACTGGGATGTATATTTAATTTTACTTGCCCTGTGCTTCTTTCTGCGAGTGTAAAACCATTTCTTCAATTTCATCTTTCAGTTTTTCTTTTGGAGGAAGAATTCTAAAATCTTTCAATATGTCATTCCATTAATTATCTTTATTTGGATCCTGGTTTAATAGTATGAAGTAAAGTTAAATCAACAAATGATTCTTGTGTGCCTTTTTAAAAATTAAAACCAGTCATTTTTGCTTTGGATATACTGAAGGTGGAACAAAAGGGATCCATTATTTTAAGGCTGTAACACCTTCATGGACCATTCTCTATCATGAATTTTTATTTGTCATTTTTCACTTAAGAACTGAAAACATCAAGAACTACTAAGAATAAGGTATTGACACTGTGAATAAATGTGTAAAAGCATACCTAGAATCAGAAGACCGTTTTGTTTTAAATCAATTATTAATATTAATGTGTTAACATAATACACCATGTTTATAACACTGGACCTCTGTGGTAATTTTAATTCAACAGTTAAGATAAAGGAACTGCATGCTTTTCATAAGACTGCATTTCTACTGAAATTATCACATTAAAAGACTTTATTTTAACAGGGCTGATTTTGGAATAGTAGAATAGCAACACTTGGGAGGCCTCAAATATGGATTGGAAGTAGTAAAGCAGATTTTAAAACAGATTGCTAATCAAAAAGTATGGTATTTTTGGCCCTGAAATAATTACTTGTTTGAAAATCCTCCATAAATAAATAACTATATAAATTAGAATAACATAAATATTTGGTGATATACATAATTCCATAATAATGCAGCATAAAATGAACAAAAAGTACATAACAAAAATTTTACCTGAGGAAACATCCAGGATTTTCATTGGATTATTACCGTGCCCATGAGTACTGCACTGGCCTTTTCAACTGACAGCTGCTTCATTTTTATTCAACAAGGCTCTTGTACAGAATTTAGCATGAGTATAATGCAACCAATTCTAATGAAGATCAAATACTACACATGCCTCAAGGATTTTCACAAAGGTAAAAAAATTGCTTTGCAATTTAGATGAAAAAATAGTTGTGGAATTCACAAAGTATATAGAATCATGCTATCGCTCACAAGGAAGTTAAAAACAGTGGGTTTGCAAGAAGACTGATCTCTGCCAGTTTCTCTGGCATGAGGAAGGAAGCAAGGCTTGGCAGGATTTGAAGTGGAAAGGAAGTGGCAGCAGCTCAGGACAGTTCCTCCAACACTCCTATTGCATTGGCTTAGCAGACTGCAGGCAAGGGTACTGCTACCAACATGCACTACTAACGCAGCACTCTGGCCTTGCAAACTTCTAGAGCCTTATTGCTAAGATAAAGAAGAGATTTCACATCTGAATAATTTATTCCTTCGGCAAATCTCCGATATCCAGATGTTACTCCTCCACTGTAAATAGTTACAATAGGTGGAAAATTATTTTCTGTAACTTTCTACCTCTAAGAAGGTGGTTATTTCATCTACAAATGATATTTCAAATATACTCACAAACTGACTTTATCCACATATAAAAATATAAGAATTAAGAATAATGTTTTCTCTTTCTTTGATTGAAAAGTAGTTGATGCAAGCCAGTGGGAAAAAATTAAAGGAGAAGCTCCATAAATTAGTTAGATGGTCACTAATGGGTCTGTAGTAGGAAAAACCCAAATGAAGATTTTGCTATAGTGTTATTCCTCAGGGTTTACTTACACAAAAGTGTCTTACACTCAGTCTTACTGCAAGTTTTCAATCCTTCACCAAAGCAGAATTTTGACTTAGGTACAGCCAGGCTATCAAAAAAATCCACATAGCTAGGAATACTCCTCCAAGGTAACTACAGAAGAAACACAAGTGATAGACAGGCACTTTGGCCTCCAAATTAGTGTTTAGTGTATGATTGCCTGATTTAAGCCAGAATCAGATTTGCCCACTTTATAGAATGCAAATCCTTTCCCATAGCAGGATTATGAAGAACAAGGCATTAAAAAACATAATAAAAATCATCATCATAACTGGACAAATAACTTCAAAACCACACAGCAACAAGTACTAATGAAATGGAATTGGAATGTAGATAGAAGATAAGCTCTGACCATTTTTTTGCCAGGAAATATTTTTAATATTTTGACATCTTTTGTTTTTCTGTGTATCTAGGTCCAACATAAAATCTTTCCATAGTATTTTACTTCAATGGTGCATTTTATACTATACCTATTTAATGCTTGCAACATTCAATATGTTTGTGCAACCAGTTCTATATTGGACATTTTCTAGATGCTGTTACATCTACAAAATAGAAAAAAAAAAATTGATCAAGAGTCCTAGATCACAGTAAATGTAACAGAAACCGGTATCTGATAAATCTGAACTCCTGCCTCGAGGAAGAGAAGGTCAGAAACTAGCAAACCTTTAACAATTTTTTTAACAATTTGAATCAAATCAATATTTAAAACGTTGATGAAATAAATGAAAATGTGTCAAAAGCTTCTCAAGATATTTGATGGTAAGAGTGTAAAGGAGCCAAGCAGTAGCAAAAATGATCCAACATAAATTGGTTTCAGAGTATGAAGCTACATCACTGAAACAGCATTACTTTACCAGCAGGGCACAAGCCCAAGAGAAAACCCTTTTCAAAACATGTCTGACTGCTGCCAGTGATGATGTTAATACCACCAGCTGGTGAACCACACCCTGGATAACATCAGTCCTTACATGTAAATAACGCTTCTAATAAATTTAATTTGCAGTTCTTTCTTTCTGGCTAATGACATGAAACAAATTCTCAATTATGTTTTTAAAATATGAACACCTACAACTGTTCAGCTAACAAATTGTAGCATTTTATTATTCTTACAGGGGAGCAATGATAGTTAATTCTTAACGGTTAGAAATTAGAGTTTCCTGATGTCTTGGCACAAGGAAACCCACAGAAGCTTCTCTCCCACCTGTCATTTCTCAGGACCCCACAGGGACTGGGAAGGTTATGCAGGACCAGAGCAGCGGCCCCAGCTCTCCCTGCCCCGCAGGGCTCTGCAGAACCTTGTGGCAGGCTTGGCCATGCTGAGGGAGCCTTCCCTTCCCAGCAGTTGCCTTTGCTCCAGACCACTCTCTGGTTGCCCCAGCAGCACGATGTGGTGCTTCAGGGCCCAGTAACGCCCCCTACCACCCACCTGAAATCTCCTCAGTTTCCTTGACATTGCTGACCCAACTCCCTCATTGCCCTCAGCCTCAGCTGCTGCCTCCCCTGGCCAGCTCGGTGCTGGGGTGATGCTCTGTGCCCACCTGCATGGGTAGCCCCAGCACTGCTGCCCCTCACAGAGGCTGCTGGCCTGACCCTGTGGTGGCAGGACAGTGGCAGTAGGGCAGCCTTGTCCACTTGGACCATCCTTCATGGGTTGCTGCTGAGAAAACACATCCCATTTGAAACAATTCCAGAAGAAAGGACTAAAATGTCAAAGGGTGGCATTCTCAGGTGGTTTGGTGTGACCAAAGGCGGCCACCAGACTCCCTGCCCTGCCCTCAGCTGTGGGCTGCTCATGCCCTGCCTGTTGGAGTGGGAGCTGTCAGCTGTGTGGTATAAGACACTTGTGGGAAAAACTTCAAACAAATAGCCTAATCTAGTACAATACATTATAAAATACAATTTTGTGGCAGGCCTCGCCTTAGTTCTGAGCAGGGGTCAGGTAACTAGATCCTCAGTTCACAATTAATGGTGCCAGTTCAACGGGAGGCACAGCAAACAGCAGTGCAAAAATGAGTGACCAAGAAGAGGAAAAGTCTTCTCAACTTGGCTTACACCTCTGAGGCCATCATTTTCCCAGCTACCTTCTGAAGTTTTGCTCCTCATCCAAAATTACCGAAGCAGGAGTTATAATGGTGAGGTCAATTCAAGCCATGACCAATCAATACAATATTAAAAACTTTAGTCTGCTTCTACATTGAATCACAGAATGGTTTGAGTTGGAAGGGACCATGAAGATCATCCCATTCAGAATGATTAGTTACTTTCAACATAATTACAACCTCAACATCATGTTTTAACACAACTGAGGTGTGAAAATAAACTCAGAGAGAGAAGCTGGGAAGATTGTGAGGCTGACTAGTGTTTCTTAGTAGAGTTTCTTTAAGTCTACATTGAAAGCAGTTGAATTTTCAAGAGAATCCTAATCCCAGTTGCAATTAAATCTTCTTCTGAATGAGAACCAGAGTGCATCTGTGTTCTTAATAGCTAAAAAAATGATGCCATTATATTTCGGTTGAATTAAAGTCAAGATATTTCTTCAAAACATACAACGTATTCATGTTTCTTTTATTAAGGGAATAGAGAATCTCATCTTTTTTTCCAGCCAGTGAAACACTATTAACCTTAAAGCTTATTGGGGATTGTAAAACTCCTTTATCATCAATATAATTCCATATATTCCATATATTCCATATATAGATCACTTGCAGAGTACTGAACTTGACCCCACAGACTGCCACAAGTCCACAGACTACAGCGAAGGAAGTTCAGGGGGAGAAAACATGATCTTGAATATCAAACTACACTTTCTTCGGCCTGTCTAGATAAGCTATGATTTTAAGGACTGCACAAATCACATATTCGGAAAAAAAAATCAATTTTTTTGTATTTGTGTTGCAAACATTCTTATTCAAACAACTCTCTAGCTGAGTGCTTTTATTTAGAAAGGAAAAATTATTTACTTAAGAGTATTGGTAGAGGCAATGTCTGTTGCATGCACACACTGACTTTTTACAGCTGAATTACATGTGGTTGTAAACATCATAACACTAGGAAACAAATAATTTTAATATGCTTTTAATATAATCAAGAAAGTAAAGAAACTTTTGAATCCTAAACAGAATCTAGTTTAAGAACATTTACATTCATTTGATCTTTAATTGTACATTAGTAATGAATAATTTTTGTAAGGAAAAGAGTATGTCCATGTACTCAGCATTCCTGCAGTATTAGCTCTAGGTGAGGAATTTAAAATCCTGAAAAATAAGAAAAAGCATTAGCTGTTGATTTAACACTAAGTATTTAAAATATGATAGAGGTATAAAATACATTAGAAAACAGAGCATTATAATATTGGTCACTGATCTGTAAACACTGATCAGTGTTTACAGAGCCACTGTGCTGTCCACTCTCTTGTATGGATCCGAATCATGGATCATCTACTGCCACCACCTGCAACTCCTAGAATGCTTCCATCAACGCTGCCTCTGTACAATCCTAAAAATCCATTGGTCAGATTATGTGACCAATACATCTGTTCTAGAACAAGCATTGAGGCCATGTTACTGAGAACACAGCTGCGATGGGCAGGGCACGTCTCCAGGATGAAGGACCACCGCCTCCCTAAGATCATGCTTTATGGTGAACTTGCCACCAGCTGCCGCATGAGAGGGGCCCCAAAGAGAAGATACAAGGACTCCCTGAAACAACATCTCAGCCTTGGCCATATTGATCACCATAACTGGTCTACTCTGGCCTCCAATCGGGAGACCTGGAGACACAGTATCTATATAGTATGTATGTGACAGGTAGTTGGATCAGTTCTTTCTTACATATACTTATCATCATCATTAACTTTCCAAACTGTTTAGAGTTCTTGCTGCCTGAAACACCTCTGTGTTTTCTGTTCTAGGAACTGAGTACCTACAGTTTCTATTCACTTCTTCTGAAAATCAGTGTATTTAACACATCCGAGAGAAGTTTGTGGGAAGAAATCTAAGTTGACCCCACAGTTAAAAGCTTTCTGAGACTACTTCTCAACATAAATGTGGTGGTCTGTATGTATAAAAATAAACTAATTTACATGTAAATCATGATTAAAAATATTAAATAAATACCTCCTTAGCGAAAATCCACTGATCTCCTTCCATTACGTGGCTGAAAGAGAAATATTCAATAAGCACTTTATAAAACTGACAGGGTTTAGTAACAAAGCCCAGACAACTTAGTGTGTATAGAAATTGGCAAACTTCTCAGCTGTGTCAATGTGATCATCATCAAAGATGCACCTAAGTTATTGTTTAAACTATATCTATCTCCAGAGGAGAATTATACAGTAAAATTTACTGTATATAGATTGAAGAATGAATTATACCTATTTTGTATGATTTTACAACTGGGAGAAAGCCACAAGAAGTCATTCTAGGAGATCATTATCCCTTATTCTTTTTTGCATTTTCTTAAAATGTGCTGATTGTTGTTATTATAACATTATAAGTATATGTTTCTATTAACAAACAACTATATGTCACTTTTTGGTTTTAGACTGCGTTCTTTAGCATAGGCAAAGACTTTCTCCATTTTCACTATGGACATTTTCGGAAATATTTTGCACTACTGAGGGACTCACTACAATTTCTACTGAAGCTGATAAAAAATTTCTTACTGAGCTTCATAAGGATTTGCCTTTTACACTGGAAGCTTGAATGCACCAATGTTAGTATTACTCAAAACTCTGGCCTGTCTTAACAACTATAAAGATTCAAGCCTGATACATAAGAGCACAAATTTGTGCTCTTTTCATTAGAATCATAGAATCACTTAGGTTGCAAAAAAGATCTTTAATATCATTGAGTCCAACCCTAGCTCCATTCTTTTTAAAGCCATTAGCGACTTTCTCATTTAAGTAGAAAGAAATAGTAATCAAAATCAAGGGAACTATTATTAAGTCTGACTTGCCATCTTCTCAGTTTTGTCAAAATGAAGTAAAAAGGCAACATGGCATAAAAGATGAACACAATAGATTCAGTATCATGAGAATTTCTGTATTTAGTGTCTCACCTTACTGGTCAATATACAAGGAAAATGGCAAGGTCAGGCCTAATAGCTGTTTTAATACAGTGTGTAAGCATGGCACTGTATTTATATCATATGCAAATGCACCATGTTGAACAACACTTTAGAAGGATTGTCCAAGATGCCATATTTTCTAGAACTTTCTCTGAGAATTAAATACATAATAACCAATAACTTCTTAAGGTATAGCATGGTATCATGTATACACAAACCTAAAATTATTTTTAAAAATTCCTATTATGCCTTTATTTTAATCCAAGAAAAAGTCTGAAGCAGATCTTAAGTAGTCCTATATAGTGTAATGCTTTTCCTGAAAAGAGTTTCCTCAGTCACAGCAATTTTTCTGTAATTCAGTGGTTTCTCTACCTTTTTTTTTTTTTTTGGTAGCTCATCACAAAATGAAAAGAAAAAAGTCAAACAAACCATACCCTGTAGAAGAAGTAGCCTCTGCTTTGAATCCCTCCAGGTCCTTGAAGTTCCTCCTGAAAAAAAAAGTATTTCAAATTATATCTACTGCTGTAAATTAATACATATAGACAGGTAGTTTATGTGCATTTTAAAAGTATTTCTTCAGTACTACGATACAGTCTTGCCCCTTAAGGAATGCTTTATGTGCATTTTTCCATGTCAGTAACAGGAAGTTCATATTGTCATGAAAAAACAGCAGAAAACATATGAATGGGGGCCAAATTCCACCTGAAGTTTTAGCTCAGCTCAGATTGCTTTAGAATGGTACTAGAAATGATGAGCAGCCTTTGCCTTTGACTTTCCAGGTTTCATTACCCAGACACAGCCACAGGGTCTTCATGGTGGTGGAGTCTCTATAGATAGAGCTGGCTTTTGCATCTTGCAGAAGGATATTTAAACAAAGTTTAAATATCAGAAATACTTGAGATCCTCCCAAGAATGAGACCCCAGACTGTTCCCCAAGGTGTAACATTTCACACATCAAGTCCCTCACACATTAATTCCCAAAGACCAGTGCTTATGATATTGTATCCTGTCTGTGCTGCACACATGGAGGAACAACTCTCTAGTGATCCATACAGCAAGGAGGGTAACAAATGATGGAAGAAAATAGAGATTCCATTTATATGTAACAAGTACAAGGAATGAAGTATCCAGTTGCTTTAATGAGACCTTCACAATTAGAGAACACCTAAGCTTAATCACAGTATTTTATTTGCTTCTGGTATCAGATACAAATGATGTGCCTGTCCTGCAGGTGGGGAGACAGGCCAATTGAGAAACAAAATAGTTCAAACCTTATGCTTACCAGAACACAAAATTTAGATGACATTTATTCAGCAATGGTGGTATTTCTCAATTAAAAACTGGAGTCATATGTTCTCTCATATGATACCCAAATATCATAACCTGAGGTGTCATAGAAAGAAATCACTTTTATTATAATGCTGTGAGAAATGTGTAAAACAGGATGACTCCCACCATTTTCAAACAAAGGAGTAGATTCAGTCCAGGGAAGCTTTCAAAGGAAGTAGGGTTTAAACTGCACGTAATTTTTGAGTCTTGATTTTAATTCTGACTTCAGTTCACCAGCTATAGCATTAAACT